AAAAAAAAGATTAATTCAGCGATTTGTCGCATCAGTGAGCTCAAAAAGGAGTGTGCTGCTGTACTTTTAAGTAGCTACGCTTGAGCTACCCCACATGAAGCTACCTCTTAGATATAAATTTTTATATGGCAGTCAGCAACAACAAAAAGACAGAATTGCAACCTATTACAAACTAGTGAACTGTTTGAACACAGTCATCTTCACAGGAAATAGGACAAAGGAAGAAGACGAATGCGCCACGCATCCAAAGTGATTTAAACTGATGCTGCGCAGGGCTTTTAAATCCCATTTTCTTCGCTTGAGCTCCAGAATTATGACCAGATAATTTATAAGTTTTGATAATCCTGTTTGAAAATTGAAGTTGTAACAGTTGATCGATATGAAGGAGCTCTTACGTGGCGAAAAAGCTCAGTGAAATTCTGTCTCACTTGGAAAATCCGAACATATCGGGCCAGAAGCTCAAATGGAGCAGCTGGAGGCTTGGCAGAACTGGAAACGAGGACTCCACGCCAGATGTTCTTGCGGAAAACATGAAGCCTGGACCTACATGGATATGCCAGTGTCGGGTGTGGCCTTTTAGAAGATTGGCAATGTTTTAGAGTGTAGCAAATTACTAGCCGTTCTCGTGAATAATTCGTTCACAGTAGTCACCTACGCGCCGCTAATTCGAGTCATGTAGATGCAGGTGAGATCTTTAGTCTTATGCAATGAGATACACTTCCTGGTTCGAAAGGATTACGAGGAAATGGCTAACGTTTGCTGGTTTTTTTGAAGGGTGCGCCATGTAGTCGATCTCCACTGAAAAATTGAACCTTTCCAAAGTATCGCTAGATGAAAGGAGCCCACAAATGTGTGCAATAGAGAGCGAGCAAGCTTCGTAGTGTCGTCAGTGTGACCCATTAGAAGCAAATTGACGAAGCCGCTCTGGAGTACGCCATGGATTCGACTACTATTATAGTTGGAGGTTCAGCAATGTTTAGAAGTTAGCTTCGTGGAAACAGTGTCTCGTTATAATCTGGTGAAGGAGACAGGCATAGACTCGATCTAGGAGAAGAGAGTCACGAGGTCCCTCAACAGGCTCCGAAGTAAAATTATATGGGATTCAATTTGATTTTATTCAATTTAATTCTATTCGATTTGTCTTATTTCGACTAATTATTGCTACAGAAGTATACCAAGTTATCGAAAGATGGCCTTAGTTAACAGTTAAAACCCTATTCATGCTTAAAAGGCAATCCATCAGGGATGGGAGTAGTGGACCACCACGGTGATGAGGAGTAGTGCCAAGCCAGTGCTATAAGTAGCTTTGCCTCAAATGGATAACATAACAAGCATGTTATCGTACTTTGTAAGCTATTGACATTGTTTTAATCACGCTAATAAGTTGATTTCCTCGAACAGAATCTGAAAGTTCGTAAATCGGTTTCACGATTAGACCACCCACAAGGGAATATTTACGTGAGCAACTTTCGAGACTATGTGAAAATGGCAACTAGGGAGTTAGTCCCAGATAAGCTCAATGTTAAATGTGCCTCTGGGGAAAACAACATGAAAAGGTTCGTGTTTGAGCCACAACAAACAAACGTTCAATGAAAACCAATGAATACTAATGATAATGTATGTTTTTCAGGGTTTTCATGACAGCTTGTTAGCCTTAAGCGAACGCATGAATGACTTGATAAACAGGAATTGAAAATATTATGTCTTCAGAGGAAACAATATTCATCAGGGGCCACCAACAGCCATAATTATTTGTCTAGACAGTAGATCGGAATTCGACTATCGGAAACTGGGGACACTAGGTTTCCGAAAAAACATTCACTTTGATCAGTTGGAATTTCGTCAGTAGCTGCTAAGAACCCTTCTAGCAGCCAATAAGTTCTGGAAACAATATTCCCTCAATCAGCTGGTTTAACCTACCGCATGGCTCTAAACAGTGGAACTCGGCAATTGGGAATCGAAAGTATTATGTCGAGGGCAAAGGGGACCTTCTTTACATGTCGTTAAACTCTAGTTGCGACCTCCCTAATGATTATTAGAACGCTCGAATCCGTGGATGAATAGAAAAGGCGGTGCTGTCCTCAGTTCATTAGAGCGGTTTTCGGAAATCGAAAATCGGAAATACTGCGTGTTCAAAAAATGTTCTTAGTCGATGGTCGCCGTTAATGGTCGGTTTACCATTAAATGCTATTCGGAGTTTCCTACCTGTCAACAGGGAAAGGACGAACCAAAAGGGCTCGAGTCAGTAGGCAAACGGCTCAGGCGCGGCATAGGTTCAAACAGTGGGTGGGAATTCAGCAATCGAAATTGAAATTATCATGGCTACTGAGGAAGCAGTCTTTGTTACTGGTAAATTGGTTTTAATAAAGTCCGAATCAGGACTTCCCTAGTTTTGAAAAGATCGAAGACTAGGCCAAAGGACGAGTCAGACGGTAAGAGTCACAAGAGCTGCATAGAGTAAAGCCGGAAGGCTGAGTTCTTTAGTCGGAAATCAAAAATATTATCTTTACGGAAGATAAAATGCTAGTTTATAGAAGCAAACTTTTTTATTGTTCGTCAATTGGGGCCTAGTAGGACTGAAATGCAGGTGAAAGATCAACTGAGAGCTCTAGGGTACTTAGCAGGCTTGAAAATGTCTCCGAGACTGCTTCTGGGTCTAGTATGGTTTAACGAAAGGTAGTAAATCTGTTATGCGTCCCATTTCCTCAATGAATTAGCAAAATTATGCGCACAACCCATTCAATGATTGGCAATATCCGGGACAGCTGAACAATGGGTAGTTTCAGGCATTTACATATAGGAAATAGTGGGTTTTAATTTCCTTCGGGTACTCAAAAAACAAAAAATTGCAAAACAACTAAATAGTCTACTCATTCTAATTTACGGATGGGTGTTCCATTCAGGCAGCTTTTCGGAAATCACCTTTGTAGGTGGGGTCCAATAAATTGAATCCATC